TAACACTTACATTATAAATCCGATTATGTTTGGCTGACTTCAGATGCTCCTCAGCCATGAGATCATCGGCTAAGTATTGACTACAAAGAGGACAATAAAAGCCCTTCAATGGGATGAGAAACTGAGCCCCTATTGCAAGAAAATCTCATTAGCTATTCATTAGTGATAGAGTACCACTGATACTAATTTCATATCTCATACCTTTCAACGGAGTCTTCATCTTCGGAGCAATTGACTTCTTGGGGCCCATCGGGTCTGAAGGCTTACAGATTTTCGAAATGTTAGGTCTCTTCACTTTCCTCCACGGCTTTAGTTCATTGGTAGCGGACTCCCAGTGCTTCTGAGAGTGCAAGTGCTCAAAATAAGGCTCTATTTTAGGCACCATTTTATCACAATCTCTACACCAATGAGAGCCGGCGTCGAAGTACTCTCGGGTGGAGTTCTCGTACTCGAACTCGTCTTCTTCGCTCTCCTCTTCTTCAACAGTAGTTGTGATCAATGAGTTCTGGAGGAGCTGTGCCTCATAATTGCTCGGCTTATCAACACTTTCACCCACTTTACTGTTGCCTTCTTTCACGTCTGGCTCGTCGTTAGCCATCGCCTCCTTTATAGCCTTATTGTAGGCGCGAATCCTTTTGTCGATTTCCACTTTAAATTTGCAGACTTCTTCGAGTCTCTGTTTCACGTCTTCCGACAGTTTCTTCATCTCCAGGAGTTCCGGATCCTTACAATTGGCTCGGTTTCGGTTCCTATTCCTCTGGATATCGCCCTCTCTTACAGCCGTCTTCTCCAGAATACTCTTCAAAGAGGACTCCTTCGCGTTGTACTGCTCTTTGATCTGATCATCAAATCAAGAAAATTACAAAATTAGTAAACAATTAAAAGTATAACTAAATGAATACAAACAGTGATGAGATCGTCGATGGAGTTGACGCCGTGGAACAGATTTTTCAAACGCTCCTGATATTGTCTTTCCTTCATCTCCTCCTTAGTCAAGGGCTCTCCGTCTTCGTCCACACCATAAGGAGCGAAGTTTGCGACCGAACTCTGCGCCGGAGGCCTTTGAGGTGGTGGTGGACCCCCTCCACCAGTCAGTGCGGGTCTAGAATAACTTGGAGGCGGTTGTGGGGCCGGCGCTGGCGGTGGGGTATAATGGCGGGACGGAGGCAGAGCTGGTGGCGGAGGTGTATATCCATCTGTGGGCGATGCTTTGTAGTTGTCTTCGAGAGTGTCTCTATAGTAATCTTTGCGATCACTTGGAGGGAGAGGTGCACCGCCACCGCCACCCGCAGGTCCGCCTTCACCTGTGAACTCAGCTCTTCTGTCATAATCGCCAGAAATGTTAGGCTTTATGCCATAATTGGTATGACTTGGGGGCGGAGGTCTTCGCTCTAATTCTGGATCAATCGGTGGGATAGGAGGCGGAGGACCCCCTCCTCCACGCGGTCCTCCCGGAGGATAATCGCTTTGAGGAGGAGGTCTG